CAAACACGTACAATTCAATTCAATTAACTTTTTTTTTTTTTTTTGGAATACTTTAACAAAAATTAATCATTAAATAAAAGAGAAAACAATATTAAAATGTGATATAATGAGTTCGTATTCATACAACGCGCTAACAAAATCCATGTGAAATTGTAATTTTTAAAAAAAAAAAGGTGTAAATTTTAAATAAACGAAATTTTGTAAAAGAACCCCCTGAAACCGTGGCAACCATAACCGCAAAATTTCATGTTGGCCGCCATTTTTTTTAAACCACTGGTAAACAATGGTAAGTCATATTATATATTAAATAATTTGAATATTATTCTTTAAACGAGATAAATGATGATTGCAATTGTTAAATTATTTCATTTATCCAGTTAAATTTTAAGGTTTAATAATATAATAAATTTTACCTGAGGTTAAATTATGTAAAATAAAATCCGAAAGAGGCGTATGGCTTCTGCAATATACAACTTGCCAGAAACATTCTCCTTTTAGGATTTAAAATAAATAATCAAAAAATAATAAATGAAAACAAATATGAAATGTAATCAAATCAATTTCATTGCACATCACAACACAATCATTTAAATAATAAAATGTGAAAATAATAGAAAAAAAAAAAAAAAAAATTCGAAAAACGCGATGAACGTATATCGACTTTTATCGGGGCGTGACCAACCTAATGCGTCCAAGACTTTTACTCTACTGAACCGTCTGCGATGAGATGAAATGATGCTCGTCAGATAGCGCAAGTTCTGCAATTTTCGGTCCTTTACGCGGCCTCCGTATTCTCAAGGGGTTTCAATGGTATGCACCTTTTAGCGAGGCCCAAAAGGTTTTCAAACAATACAAACGCACACATACACCTTCTTCCCCTCTCTCAAAGGTGGTTTTAAAACTATTTAAGTTAAATCTTTTAAATTTTTATTTAAACTTTTCTCACAGATGAATCAAATAAAAAAAAAAAAACTGACTATCATTTTTTTAATTTTGAAAATTTTATTAAAAACAAAACTATTTCTTTCCTATATATCCTTTTTTTTATAAACAAACAATACAAAAAAAAATGTTTTCAAATATAAAATTTAATTTTTTTTTTTTTTTTTATTGTTTCATTGTTGAAAAGGTTCAAACTATTATTTTAATAAAATAACATGTGAAAATTATTATTTAAAAAAAGTTTTGTCAGGCAAATGTTTTAAGTTGTGGCAAAAATTGGGGTTATTGAACTATATTAAATAAAATGAGCTAGAGTAGCATGGCTACAAATGAAAGGCCTTGTACGCTGTTGTTGTTGCTGCTGCGGTTGCTGTTGGTGGTAAATTACACCGCAATTACTAAATAAAAATTTTGATGACATCTTTTATTTTTAAATTATTTTCGAGAGGGAAGAAACCACTACACACGATTTAAATAAAATTACCTAATTACTTTTTTCTCGATAGGTTATTCTTAATAATCTAAACGTCACCCATTTTATTTTTTTTAAGACTACGCGCCATTTTCTTCTATTTTATTATCATTAATTGATTATTAATAATGGAATTGACTTTTTTTTTTTTTATTTTATCAAGTGTAAAAAATATATATATATATATTGACAATGTGAAATAATAGTACAAGTAGGAGGCGTTTAATTTATTAACAAAAGGAATGCCAACAGACAGACAGGAGGAGAGAGAGAGAGAGAGAGAGAGAGAGAGAGAGAAGAACGTTATTTTATTTATTTTATTACTTGTGGTGTAAGCTCCAACTGTGATAATGGATGTTTACCACACAGTTATTTATTTTCAGGATCCCCAATTGGAAGCCCCAATTAATTCTTATCACACACATACTGATCTATATGCAAAACATAAAATGTTTTTGTTACCCAAACGGATGAAGACAATCAACAAAGACTGTTTGGTGGTTTGATATTTGAGAACCTCAAAAAAATTTTCAATGAGATATATGATATACCTTCTCCTTTTGTAATTTTGTGACATTTTAGAAAAATGAAAGTGAAAAAAAAAAAAATTCCAAGGTTTAACGATTTGTTTTCGAAACGTACAAACTCGAAACCGGAAGTAATGCCAAAAATTCCTACTCCAACGGGCGGAAGTAAATGAATTTAACAAAATACCCTAATTTTTGATTTATTAATAAAATCTGGCAAGAGAAATAAATTTTATTAGAATCTTTTTTTTACACTACATTAAACAAACGTAGAAATAAAAAAAAAAAAAAAATTTACAGGAATTTGTAGGTTATAAAAAGAATAATTTGATTTCGTGACATTTTTTTGTTTTTTTTTACACAAAATAGAATTTAAAAAAAAAAAATAAAAAAATAAACTCATATTCGAAACAACCTTAATCAAAAATATTGTTTAACGTTTTGAATGTTAAAAAAAAAAAAAAGGAAAAAAAGGGGAAAATAATTTAAAAATTGTGAATTTATTCAACTCACGAAACGACATTTGCTAATTTATTAGAGAGCTTAACATTTTTTTGACGTAAGAGAGAGAGAGAGGGGGGGGAGAGAAAGAAAGACTTTCTACCAAATACGGTTAAAATTATTACTTTTTTTTTTTGGGGGGGGGACTTAATAAAAACTTTGCGACAAATATTACATAATAATAATTTTTTTTTTTTTTAAATCAACAACTATTATCATTTTTTTTTTTAATGCTTTGAGAGAGAGAGAGAGAGAACAAATTTTCATCCCTTTGAACCTGAAAAAAAAAAAAAAAAATTTATATTAGATGGTTACATTTTTTTTTTGTTTTTTTATAATTTAAAATTTATTTCAATTGTTTAAAAAAAAAAAAGTTTATTTTAAATTTATATTCTAATTTATTTCTATAATGTAATTTTTTTCCCTTTTTTTCTTCTTTTCCTTTTTTTCAATTTTCTAAATTTTGGCGTATCAAAAAAAAACAAATGATTATAATAAAATTGACTTTGATATATACTTTTTTTTTTTTGTTACATAAAATGTTATTTTCTTTTTATTAAAACATGGAAATATTCAATTCTTTATTTATTTATTTATTTTGTCTTACAATTGAAATTTTTTATTTTTCATTGAGGGGAAGGGGGGCAAAATAAATCGATTCATTAAATTTTTTTTTTCCCCCCCCAAAATAAAAGTAATCAAAATACTTTTGGGTTTTAATCCATGACGTCATTTTAAAAAAACTATTTAATTATTTATTAAAAGGATTTTTAAAAATTAATTTATTAATTTGAACAAATGTCTGCGTTTTTCCTTTTCCAAACATTTTTCGTATCGATTTTCCCTTTTTCCAAATAAATAAATGATTTATTAGTAAATCGAATGAAATTTAAAATATTTTTAACAATTAAAAAAAAATTTAAATCAATAATAAACAAAAAAAAAAAAAAATATGGAAAACAATATAATTTAAATAAATAAATAAATAATAATAATGAACGGAAATTTATTTATTTATTATTATTATTATTATTATTTAAAGGTTAAAATTAAATGTTGTTTTTATTTAAATAAAAATATTTTACACATATTTTTTTTAATTTATATATATATATGTATATAGGCCTGCCTATTATGATACATAAAATAAAAATAAATAAATAAATAAATAAAATTATAAATTGAAACAACTTAAAGCTTTAAAAAGTTGCCATTTTGTTTTATTAAAATATATTTATATATATTTATTACTTAATATTGTATTAATTTTACAATAAAACTTTACACTTTGAATTTGTTATTGTTTGTTGTTTGTTGTCATGGATTAGCATTTTGGCTTTAAAGTTTTATTATTATTATTATTATTATTAGTCATATTAAAAAAAAAAAAAAATCAATTAACGTACGAATAAAAGGGAAATTTGCAAAGTTTACACAAGACAATAAGCTTTTTTTTTTTTTTTTTTTTTTGTTTTTTTTTTTTTGGAAAATTTCATTCATTATCATTTACACTTAAATATCGATTTTAAATTGAAATTTTTTTTTTCTGGAACAACTGCTTAAACCCTAATAACCTCATTTAAAAAAAAAAAAATTTACATAGTTTTAAAATTTTGTTTGTTTGTTTTGGTTGTTTAATTTTTTTTTTTTTTAAATATATATATATATATATTATCACATTAAAAAAATATTATTAAAAATTATTTTTTAGATGTTTTTTCCATTTAAAAAAAAAAAAAAAAGTATTAAATATTTTCACTAACCTTATTTTTGTAAAAGTTATTATTATTAATAATGAACATAAAAATTTTTTTTTTTTAAAAAAGGAATATAAATAAATTTTCCTGCTTTTTTTTTTTTTTTGTTCGGTTACACTAGAAAAACTAATGAAAACTGAGCATAAATCTTAAAACAAGATTTATTTTTTATATTGGCTTATTATTTAAAACATTAACCTGAAAGGAAATGCTAATAATAAAAATAATAATAATAATAATAAAAATACTTTAACTGAGCTAAGAGAGAGAATTTTTCGGACGTATAAATAAATAAAAATGAGTGAAATAATTTACAAAAAAATAATTTTATCGAGATTAAAGTAAATTAAAAACTGAAATGAGCAAATAATTTATCAAAAATTATTTCATTAGAGCTTATTCCTGGTCCCCCTCCCCCCTCCCCCTTTCCCCCGGGTCCTCGCGGTATATCGTATCATCATCGATTGAAAATTAATAATTCAAAGTGTAAAATAAAAATTTTTTATTTTTATTTTTAAACGTCAATTAAATATATTTTTCGTTTTTCTTTTTCTTCTTCATTTTGAAATAATTAAATGTGATAAAAAGTATAATTTCATTTTTTTTTTTTTTTTTTTCTAATCTAATTTACAATATAGTTATTTGAATTTTAAAGATGTGTCAAAAAGCGTGAGAGGCGAAGAAATATTTAAAATAAACACCGAAAAAATTTAAGAAAATTATTTTACTCATTTTCGGTTTTTTTTTTTTTTTTTTTTTCGTGCAAATAGAGATGGATTAATTAATATTTTAAAAGCTTTTTTATTTATCTTCTTTTGCCAAAAGCTGTTGCTGCTGCTGCTGCTGAGGTTGCGTATAATACTTATGATGAGGGGATATTTGTTGCTGTTGAAGACAAGAACCGTTAAGCAAAAGCCTTTTTCTTGCCAATTTCGACCTGTAATAAATTATATTTAAAATAATCAAATACTTTATTTTTTTTAAAACTTATATTTATGTGATTATACCTGATTTGTCCGGCCAATAATGGATTTATGGCATACAACCATTCGTGAACTTCTTTTTCGCAAAATGTTTGTAACAAATAACCTCGATGTTTTGTTACGACGCTAAATGTATTTTTCACTCGTACCATTGCCTGTTGATCTTCCGAACATTCTACTTGAGCTGTTGTTAGATTAATTAAAGCCCTTTCCACCGGATCTTTTTCATCTCTGAATATAAAAACGTAGGGCCTACGCACGGCCTGAAATCAAATCAGAACCCGTGTCAATAATTTTAAATTTTTTTTTTTTTTTTTTTACCCAAAAAGAAAAAAAAAAGGAAAACTTACGACCCAACGTTTTTTCCATCCGTTTGAATTGTGCTCCAAAACATTCAAGTATCCTTTTCTGGCAATTATTGGACTTATTCGAATTTCCTCCACTTCCGGTATGTAAAGCACTAAAGATTCATTTGAAATTTGTGGTTTGTCCATAAGAGGCTGAGGAGCGAGTATTCCTTCAACGTTTGGTAACTGATCTATTCTAGTACTGTCGGAGGAACATATCCTGATAGAAATATTTTTTTTTTTTTTGGTAAAAGTCAAGAAATGTAAATAAATAAAAATTAAAAATTAATTTCTCTTACTCTTGGGTATAAGCCGCAGTGGTAGACATGTTGACAGAAACGTCGCAATCGTCTACGGGTGAAGATATTTTTGAAATGTTCAATTCCTGTGATAAAAATAAAAATAAAATTTTAACTTTCCGAATCTACTACTGTTAATGTTTAAATATTTTAATTATAATAATACTAATACACGCAAGTAAATTAATATTTACCTTATTGGGAATATTTCCTTGTATTAATTTTATGCATTTTAATAATAATTGTTTTTCACGATCATTTAATATAAATTTTGTATCGCAAATATCACTATTTGTTTTTATTAATGAATTTGATTTATTTTCCGTGTTTGCTTTAGCAACCATGTTGCAAACTTCCTGTAAATATATATTAATAATAATTAATCATTTATTTCTTTTTTTTTTTCTTGTTAAAATAAATAAATTTTTTTTTTTTATAAAGATAAAATAAAATAAAAAACAAACTTTTTCCGATTTAGTAAAATCGTGAGTTCTAGACGGGAATGATTTATCAAATCCTAAACGTTCTCGTAAAAGCAACATATGCCTCACTTTTTCTACTTCTTCTAAACGTGTTAATTTTTCCAATTCCCATTGGTGATCAAATATTAATGAATCACCACGTGGACGCCATCCGTGAAGATTTTCTTCTCCCCTTACATAAGTTGAACTCGTATCCAAAACTCGTCTTTGACGTCTCTGAACACCTTAAAATAAAATATTAATAATCCAAAAATATTAATAAAATGAAAATATTTATTTTTTTTTTAATTTAAAACAAAACGAAAAGAGGATAAGATGGAATAAAATGGAGCGTTGACATTTTCTAAAACTAATATAAAAAAATAAAATAATTTATGTATATGCTTGCGGTGTAAATGTATGTATGTAAAAATAAACTTTTATCTATCAACAACAACAACAACAACAACAAAATTTTTAACACTCTAACTTAATTACTACAAGCTTGAAAAAAAATTTTAATGAGTTTTAAATATAGAATAATGATGATAACGAAAAAATGGAACTACTCTAAAGGGAGACAACAAACCTGGGCTACCTTCGGATGCTCTTCGAAGAACAATCTCGTAAACTCCCGACAAACGATTTGCTTCAGAATTTCTATATCCTCCGGTAAATAAATGTTTCAACGATCTTGGAGCGGCTCTAGCATCTCTACCGTATAATACCATGCTTAAATCTTTTGTTATTATAGCGGGACGTCCACAGTTTTCTATCTGCAATGTATTATAATTATTTTTTCACTCTTGAGATTTACATAAAAAAAAAAAAAGGCAAAAACATTTTTGATGATAATTTACCTCAACATAAGCCGAAAGAGTCATGTAAATATGTTCACCATATGCGGTAACTCTATTAAGCAAAGCAGAATTGTGAAGAGAAGAATCCCAAGCAGCTTCGAATCTAAACATGCATCGATCATCTTCTAAATTTTCTATGTATTCACCAGGAAATAGACCGAGAGATAAAACAGATCCATCATTATCTTCTTCATCAGATTCAGGAGTATTTCGAATTCGACCTAAAAACAAAAATTTTGTTTTTACACATCACAGACGTAGTTTAAAAATATCGATTTTTTATTTAAAATAAATTAAACTCACCGACAACAAGTTCTCTAACATCTTTCCAATGAAGTTCAGGAGCATGTTCGTGAACTATGGTTATACGTATTCGTCTTTGAATACCCTGATGAAGCAAAAATAAACCTCTACATGGTAAATCATCACTGTGATCAACGACAGCGGGTACATAATCACCGTTGGGAGCCAACTCGCATATTTCAAACCAAACAAGAATGTCATATTTTGCATGAACGTGACTTGTGCTTGGAGAAGGCAAGACACCGAATTTCGGGGACCTCACTGGTTGACTTATAGGGATGGAAGGTGGTAACATTCTTTTTGGTGGCTGCCTCACGCTGAAAAATATCGAATGACTTTTTTTAAGTAAAAAAAAAAAATAAATTATTTAATAAAATATTTTTTTTTAAAATCAAATCTTCGTTCTCACTATTGATTTCCTTCCTGTTTGGCATCCCGATGGAGGGGATGTTGTTGATAATGCCCGAATATCTCAAAAACTAAGGGTTGTGTTTTTATGTAATCAACAAAAGATTTCGTCACGTTAATTGTAATCTGAAAATATATGTAATACAAAATGTAATTTGAAAATTTTAAAAACTAATTATGTAAAAAATAAATTATTAAATACATTTTGAACGTGGTAAAATCCTAAAGGATTTCCTTTTCCTGTATTTTTAACGGGTTCTGTGGAAAATGCTTCGTCGTGTCGATGAAGAAAACTGGAAGAAAATAAAAAAAAATTTTTTTATAATTAAAAATGAACATTCTTAAACATAATTATAAATTCATAAACTAAAAAATTAAATTAAATTTGAAATTTACTTGAATTGACAAAAAATGTCAGCGTATTCGGTTGGAATTCCCACAGCTTGGAGTACCGTAACTCTAAAAGTGAATTCTTTTCCAAGTTTTAAATGATCAGGAATATCTTCTTCTTTTAAGTCAGAACCCACTGAACTATCACCTTTCCCACTATCTGTGTCACATTCGCAATCTAATAAGAATAATATCATTAATTAAATTCCTATATATTAGCAAAATTGGTAAAAAAAAAAAATTTAGTGAATGTAAAATACCTTCATTTTTATTGTAACATTCTGGACTACCTTCAACAATTCTTTCTTCAATATTTATTTTTTCTTGTAATTTTTTATTCGTTTTAGATCCATAAACTTCATTTTCAAAAGTGATTCGAGCTGATTGTCTCACACCAACAGCATATTCACTATTTTCTTCTGAAAATAAAAATTACATCATTTAAGTTTAACTTAGGGAGACAACCATAAATTTATTTAAAATTTACATACCGAAAACAGGTTGTACAGCCACCCTTAAATAACCTTTGACATCTCCTTTTTCGTTAACAATGGCCACTTTGTGTATAAGTGGAACAGAGTATATAAGGTTGCTCAAATAAACGAAGGATCTAAAAAAAATTTACAAATCCATATACAAAAAAAGAGAAACTTAAAAATTGATATTTAAAACGGATTAATAATGCTTTACCTTCCAACCATTCTAAACCATGGAAATCTATCGTAAAAAGGATCCCCTCCAGTTAAATTTTCAACATTATAATCTGGAGAAGTTGGAGATAGTTCTGCTTCATTATGATACATTTCTCTCATCAATTCGAGTCTTTGCCTAAAGACAAAAATTAATTTTTTATTTCAAAAAAGTTATTTAATTATCTAAATGAAATGAGAATTTATTAAAGTTTTTTAACAGGAATAAGGAATGAGGAGTTAAGTTTTACTTTTAAAAAAAGAGTAAATAAATAATAAAACTTTGGTTTTTAGTAATTAAAGGAAAAATCCTGAGAATACCAACGACTAAAGTGACAACATGTCAAAAAACGCCATTTTTTAGTTTTAGTCCTTGTAATTTTTTTTTTTTTTTGGCGGGAAAAACAAGTCAGGAGGTACAAAAAAAATCTACATGTTGAAAAGATTTTGTACAAAAAAAAAAAAAAAAAAAAAAAAAAAAACGAACCTTGATGGTATTAAATTTGAAAATGAAAACCGGTGAGATGAGCAGACAGACATGCAATTAAAAAGATCTTGACGTAACTGATCGGGTGACTGAGGGCTTAAATCTTCATTATAAATATGTCGCATTAGCTCCAAACGTTGTCTGCAATATTACGTCATACATTTAAAATATTTTATATTTAATAATTTTTTTTTTTCTTTTATGTAGCGTTTATGATTGCAGACAAAGTTTATAAACTAAATGCAAAATCATAATTTCTTGTAACAGTACACCCGAAAAATAATTATTTTGGAGAAAAGTTGTCAGATATACAGAAGAAAATAAAAATGAAAATTCCAAAGGGATCATAATGAAAATTTTACTTACAAAAAATAAATTGAAATAATTAGGAAAATTTTTTTTTTTTTTAATTATTAAGTATTTCTAATAATATTGAATATATTTTTAACTAATCATGAAGTAAAAATATAACCATAAGTATTTATTTCTATTATTATTACATTGTGAATTTATTATAAACAAAAAAGAAAACTGTTAAAGAAAAAAATAAAAACTGTTATTTAAATAATACTAAATCAAATGCAGTATTAAAATTACAACCTTGGGTAATCATTATTATCATTCGATTAAAACAAATGAAAATTTTATAATCAAAATGGTGTTAATACATGCATTGCACATGCGCCTTTTTTTTTTTTTGGTGCTTTTAATTGTAAATTCAATTCTAAAAACAAATTTTTTTTTTTTGTTAAGACAACTTACATTTTCTCAAATTTTACTTATGTCAATGAAAAAGATATAAATACAACCGTTTCAAACTTTGTCTACAATCGCTACAAATTTTTTTAGCTTAATTTAAAAATTAAGTGTGTTAAAAAAAAAAAAGAAAAAAAACAATAGCTAAAAAAGTGCATAATTAATTTGTTCAATCAACTCTATATTTTCTCACCTCAATTTGTTTAAATTCCAATAATGAGTTGCTCCGTTTTTAGTATCTAATACTTCCACGGCTACAATAGTACGAGAAAATGGTCTCTCATCATCATCATCATCCGTAACTCCTGGAGTGAGTAAATCTGGAGGGAGAGGTGAATACAATGTATCCGTAAGTAATGTAAATTGAAATTGAACCTGTAACAAAAAATTTATATATTATTAATTATTCTCTCAGTGAAAATAAATACTAAAATTATAAGAAAATCAATAAAATACCTTCTTCTTTAATTCGACGGAAATAGCATTTGCTTCTTTTAAAAAAATAGCATTTCCCCAAAGGTCATCACGTAAAGACGTAAACTGATGATATTTCCATTTCTTAAAAGCCCAACCGGCTAATTGCATTTCTCTGTCGGACCACGTACAAGAAGCTTCAAATAATGGATTAACAAATATGTCTTCTTCATTATTGAAATCTTCAGGAGTGTACGAACTGTACATAGACATTGTCATACTTTGTTCTTCAACTTGTTTTTGAAGGGCATCAATGCGAGCTTCATAAGTCTAAAAATCATTTCATATAATTACAAATTTATATTTACCTCTCCATTTTATATTCTTAAATCGATACCTTTCTTTGTTCTTCGAATAGCTGATCAGCAGTTTCCTTTTCTTTCTTATATTGTTCTTCTAAAATAAGAAGTTTTTTATCCATTTCCAATTTTAAATCGATACCCTGTTTTTCGAGAAGTTCTATCTGAGCGAAATTCCAATCAACTTGTTCTCCGTTGCTTGGAGTTTCTGCTGGAGAAAGTTTTTCTATTTCGCTTTTTTCAAGCCTTTCACGAGCTAAAAATAAACAATATTTAAATTTTTTTTTTTTTTTTTTTTGAAATTTAAAAAGTACATTTTCAATCGCAATAAAAAAAAAAAGACCTTGTTCCGGGTGATTAAATCGAAAAACGTGATTTTTTCCAAAAATAACACGAGAACCGGTTTTAAGTACGATGGGTTCTAAAATTTCTCTGCCGTTTACATAACACATCGCTCCATTCTTTGGTATAAGAGTTATAACGGAATTTTTATTTTCAAATATGCAATGTTCACTCAGTATGTGTGATCCACTGAGTTGAATGTCTTGTGGAATGGTAGCATCAGCAGAACCGACTCGTGTAGTCCCATCTTTTATATAATAAATCAAACATTCCGACATTGAAGGATCTTCGTTCAAATTAACTAAATGTGGAGTCTTTTTAGGGGAGAATACTCCAACTGTGATTCCATCTTCTTTAACTGCAACCCCCATTTCGGCAAAAACCGCTTCTCTTTGAACTCTAACCTGTTCGGTTCTTTTTAATTTTTCTTCCCACGTTTCATTTAATTCTAAAAAAAAAAAAAAAAAAAAACAAATTTTGATTTTATAATTTAAAGGAAAAAATTTTTTTAAATGTTAATTTGATGACAAACCCGCGATAAGTTTTTCACTGGCTTGCAATTGATCGACAGCTTCTTCTGCTAAAGTGGATGGAGTATTTGTTGGTTGGTTAATTTCATTATTTTTCATTAATCTCACCCCATCGTCTCCTATAAGAAAAAAAAAAAAAAAACAATTTATTATAAACGTTATTTATTTCTTCAGACACAAATGACGTCAATTCATTTAAAAACAATTAATTATTTTTTTTTAATTGTAATTTATTTTATTAATATTATTAATATTAATAATAGATGAAATTTTAAATTTTATTCTAGTTAAAAAAAAAAAAAAAAATTCAACATTTTTAAATTGCTTATATTTTATACCAGATAATAATTAATTTTAATAAGTTATTCAATTTCAATTTTTTTTAAAAATTTTTCAAAAGCGAATTTAATTGGCATTACGTTTCCTTTTTCTTCAACCATCAATTAAAATAAAAAAAAATTTTTTTTCCACAAAATATTATTCATTAGCAACATATAATTTTTTTTTTTTTTTTATATGGAGTGAGAGTGTGTGTGTTTTCATTTGTACAGGTACACGTGACTGACATTATAAATAACCTTAACAAAATAAAAAAAAAAAAAACAAATTTTAAGAGTGTTTTTATTTTTTTTTTCACATCTCCCATATAAACTAACTTTAATTATATTTAAATTATTTTATTTACCAAAAACTTTTGAACCTATTAATAATTATTAAAAAGTGTTCAAAACAATCATGATTAATTAGAATTTTCCTTAAAAAATTTATTATAAAATAAAATGATGACTTTTTACCTTGTGCAAATAAAATAAAAAAATGTGTAATTATTAAATCACAAATTGAATTAATTAAATTATAAATTTTATAAATAAAAAAATTTTTTTTTCAATTGTTAATTGTAACCAATTATTTTCAATACATGTAAAATTTAAAAAAACATAATAATAATAATAATAATAATAAGCAAAAAAATTAACGCATTTAAAAGGGATAAAAAAAAAAAAAATGTTGCTGTAAAAATTACATGCACGCGAATCGCACGAAAAATTTATTTATTTTTTTTATTAAAACCTCAGGTTTTTTTTTATTTATTTTTCAAGCTTAAATGCGAACGAAAAAAAGAAAAAAAATCCCAAATTTTGTTTTACATGAAGTTCAAGCTTAATAATAATAATAATAAAATAAAGTCATGCTTCTTTTTTTTTACCAATGAAAATCATTAAAATTATATTTATATATGTAATTGTAACATAGAAAAAAATGTTTAATTGTAAAAATGTATTATTAGTGACAATAAATCTTTAATTAATTAATTATTATTATTATTTGATTTTTTGTTTTTCAGAAAGAGAGAGAAATTATTATTATTATTAACGACGACGAGGACGACGACGAATTTAAATTAATCAATTTTAGGTGATTAACATTGAGAAGCAGCAGCAGCAGCAGTAGGAACAAGCTTTCACATAATTATTTTATATATATATATATATTGGCTTCTATAAAATTATTTACTTACGATTGCTATCTCTCTTTTCTACTATCAATCGACCATCAGGTCCTGTACGAAGTTTAAGCATAACAAAAATAATATACCCTTTGAATTTTTTTTTTTTTTTTTTTCCATTTATCAATAAGTATCAAAACAACATTTTAACAAACATTAAAAAAAACAAAATTTTTTTTAAATTCAAAAAAAAACCGTTAATCACACAAATGGATTTATAAGATTTTGTTTTGTTTTATTATAAGTAAAAGCTTTTTACACGAGATTAAAGGATTATTTAATTCCGTACAAAATAATTATCTACTCATGGAAGCCATATTATTATTATTATTTTTTCTTTATGCGACAACAATTTTCTAACTTAAATTTCCTTGAATGTCCCTCGTTTTCGTACAATAATTTAAAATTAAATCTCTCATAATAAATTTAATTTAAAAAAAAAAAAAACTTACCCTCGTGTACTTCGATGCCTTCTGCCCGAAGTAAATCCCTCAATCTTTGAATTTCTTCTTTTAGTTCTCTTATAAGTTTTGCATTAGCATCCTCATTGACGATGGCCTTGCAAACGATGGCTTTAGCTCTATCAGCATAACGAAGAGTCGATAATGTTTCATCATAATTTATATCAGCAGGACTTACAGCTGCTATCATAGCCGTTTTTGAATTACCACCAAGGTTCTCTCGAAGAAGCCAAGTCAAAACAGAGTCACGATAAGGTATGAAATCCTGTTTTCTTTTCTTTTTAGCACTCTACATAATAAATTTTTTAGAAAAAAAAACATGTTAAATATAGCAAAAAAAAAAAAATTATTATAAGGTTTTTGGAATATTTAAAAAAAAAAGAAAAAGAAAAAACTCACCATATTATTTTGTGACTATCCGATTAAAAAATTAAAAGATGAAACAAATAAATTAGTGAATAAAACCTAACTAATAATAATTTGTTTTTTTTTTTTTCTTTTCTCTCAAAATTATTGAAGAACAAAAACATAAATTACATAAACTAAAATTTTTATTTCTATGGAATAATTAAATAAATATGTAACAAAATTATTTACAATTTCGGCAAGAGCTGATATAACTTTGCCTAATGTTGTCAAACTCTTATTTATGTTTGCTCCTTCTTTTAATCTTGTTCCTTTGGCACCCGTTGAATCCGCACGTTCTGATCCGGCCAAATCAACAAGTGATATTTTACTGACTTTTTCACTTGAAAGTTCTGTTGTCGAATCAAATTTTTGCTGTGTAAAAAGTATTGTAAAAACTGCATGAGATCGAGAAGATGTTTCGTTCATGTTTGTAGCTGCCACCGTTCTATAAAATATAAATAAAAAAAAAATCAAAATGAATCGTTTTATATACTGTGTATGCATGTTAAACATATTTATATGTTACCTGGCTTTGTTTCCTTCATCAATCAAATGATTTATATCATCAAATGATGTGACTGCCAATTTTGATAAATCTTCAACGTATGGTCCTAATAAGGGATGTTCTCTGACTCTCAAATGTCCTTTTGGATTAGGATTAAGTAAATCTCGAACTCTTTCACAATAAATTTCCATGTAACTGACCTAATTAATACATGTGTACAATTTAACATATGTCTGCATAAAAAAATTCAGAATATTTTTGAAAAAAAAAAAAAAAAAATCCAACTCACTTCGACAGAATATTTCAATTCTTCCGAAGCTGTTTTTTTTATTCTCCCAAATAAATCTTTACAAATCATTGGAATGATTCCTTCTTGTCCTTCTTCTTGTCTACCCATCATCGTATAAGATTTTCCAGCTCCCGTTTGACCGTAAGCAAAAATACATACATTGTATCCTTCGAATGCATGTTCCAACATTTCTTCTCCAATATCTTTATAAACCATTGTTTGTGTGGAAAATGATGAATCCGTGCACTGTTAAAAAAAAAAAATTTTTAATAACAATAATTAAAAAAAAAAACAATTTTGTGAAATTAATATGATATTGTAACTTACATCGTGAGACCAATATGAATAATCATAATTAAAACTTTTGATGGCTTCTTTTGTTCCTGGAGGAGCTTTTGGATTAATTATAGCTAAAAAAAAACATTTATTATAACACAATAATTAATCTTTTTTAAAGAATTTATTTATTTTTTTAAAGAAAACTTATTAAAAGTTACTCACATGTTGTTTTTCCACACATTTCTATAATACATTTGCATTCTCTTGAGATTTCACGATTGTTAAAAGGTCTAACTCTCACAGCAACTTTTACAGAAGACATTTTTCCTTTTATATATATTTAATTTCCTTCCCTATGAAAACATATATTTTACTAATTTTCCTTTTTTTTTTTTTAAAAAAAACAATTTATTTATAATTTATTTAAAAAAAAATTAAAAGTTAAAATCGATAAAACTTAAATTTTTTTTTACAATATGTTGTAATTTACAATTGATAATAGGTATAATAATAATAATTATTATTACTACGTAATAAATTATTTAACTGCGTAAAGGGTAAAATAATGATATGAAAAAAAATAATAATAATAATAATTACGCACTAAGTTTCCTCCCCCCCCCCAAAAAAAAAAAAAGAAAAAAAAATTTTTTATTACGTTTCAAATTTACAAAAAAATTCGTTTTTTATTCTGATAATTTAATAATAGATACTATTCGATATTAAAATCAATCGAAACCGATAAAATTAATAAATTATTATTATTATTTTTATTTTTTTCTGGATTTAAAAAACAAAAAATTTGAGTATAAAAAATATGGATTTAAAATAATTGATTGTATAACACACACACACACACACAACCGGTGATGATTGATTGACACAAAAGAAGAACAATATTATTTTTTTATTATTCAAAACTATAAATAAATTTTATTAAAACTGTAAGGAAAAAATAAATAAATTATTTACCAATTAATATAACAATAATTTATTAAAATGATAAAAAAAAATAACACGGGTTAAACATCACTAATTTTTTTTTTTTTTTGTAAAATTCTTTGAAACAATAAAGATATTACTAATAGTTAAAACTTCCAAAATCATCATCATCATCATCATCATCATTGGAAAAAGGAAAATTTTAAGGGTGAGAAAAAAACGATTTTATATGAGCAAGCGCAAATTGAAAAGGTCAATGGAGTCGCTGCTGTGGCGTAGGTTCGAGATTTTTACAAAAATCGATATATAAACTATTCAATTTTTTTTCCTTTTTTCTATTTTCCAAATAAATTATATAGTAATTTTCTCCAGTAAAGAAAAAAAAAACAATAAAAAATTGCAATAAATCGTTTTTATCAAACAACAAACAAACAACTTATCATTAATATATTAATTTCCCCTTTGTAAGCCATCTTGTTTTTTTTTTTTTTTAAATTTCTTTGTGATGCCCAACAAATCCAATGTCAGTAAACTGTCAATCAATAAATTTTCTTTTTTCTTTTTTATTTACTTTTGAAGGTCAGAGTTTTTCTTTGTTATTATATTTTTAAATTAATATTTATTTATAAAACAATCAATTTGTACTATTATAGTATATTACTTGTAAAAAAAAAAAAAAAAAATGGCGTGTGGATAATACAAAAAAAAAAAAGAATCAATCAATATAGTCATAATGAAATGATTTTAAATAAATTTAGAACGAATTGTTCATTGGGATTAATATATAATTTTAAAAATCAATAATTTGAAATTCGTATTTAATGAATGAATAACCTTTTAAGGATTGTTAATAACGTTTTTCGTAATGAGTGGAAATCAAAATACAAATATAATAAATAACAAAAGGTAGAGAAATTAAGAAAAAAAAAAAAAGAAAAAAGGTTCTTAAAGATGTAAAATAAAAACAATCAAGTGGGCGAAAATGATTGAATGAAATGACGTCATTTACTGTTGCCCCGACATCCGGAAAGAACAATTTTCTAGAAAGTTACTTTTTTTTTTTTTTTCCCCTATATAAAAAGAACTTTTTATTTATTCTAAATAAATTTTTCACTTTCATATTAAACTATTAAATCATTTACATAGAATTTTATGTATTTTAATTAATAATTAATTAAGAATAATGAAAAAATAAAACTGTTTTGTAATGTAATATTGAAATATCTAATAAGGGATGGGATTATGAAAAAATTTTCATGAATTATAAATTACCCGAATAAAATAATAATAATATTAATTAAATTACCATAATATTTAGTATATTGTATAAATATTTTAATATAAAATGAATTTGGGTCAACGACAAAAAAAAATAAAATAAAAAAAAATAATAAGGGTGAGTCACACTTAGGTAGGACTTTCTGGCGCCTTCAATTTCTTTGCTATTTTATTTGTGATTCATTTCTGATCATAAAAAAAAAATGTTCTAGACTTTGATAGAAAATAAAATTTTTTGTTCTCTCTAGATGGATTAGAAAGAAATGATTAAAAGAAGTATTCGTTATTATATGAATACTTTTTTTTTTAATTTAAATTTTTACTCATCGAGAATTACAATTAATAGATAAATCAATAAGACAATGAAAAGAAAAAAGACAAAAAGAAAAAAAGAAAAAGAAAAAACCAAATCACACAAAACTATAGAGAGAATATTAAATTTTTTGTTAACTTACCTGATTAAATTTTTTTCTTCAAAAATAATTTGAAATCATTATTTATTAACTAATAATATTTACTTTAACTTTATTTAAAACATTTTATTTTAAAATAACAAAATAATTTTATTTTATTTAAAAAATTTTCACTCAATTACTGACAGTACAACATTTTAAGACTGCTGTGTTCGATGCAAAGACTACGAATAAGTTAAATTGTTTTACTACTCTAGTCAAATTTAAAACTAAAAAAATCATTACTCTGTTACGATAGATAGGAATTAAATTTTTTTTTTTTTTTTTCATTTTTGTTAAGAATATAATTTTTAAAAATTAATAATGGGAAATAACAGATTTTTTAAATTTATGTCAACATTATCCCATTTATAGTAATTTTATTTTTATAAAATACAAGTTATCTTGGTTAGAGTGTCCATTGCCGGGTAACAAAATTACATAGTGAAAGTGTACCATCTAAAAATTTAGAGTTGATATTAATTTTAAAAATAATTCTTCTTAAAGCGACGGCAACTTTAAAGATTTAAAACGTTCTTTAAAATAATAACAAATATTATTTTTCATGTGAATTAGGGCAATGTAATAATTGGGTTACCAATAAAATTTTAGAATGCTAAATTCATTGTTGTATTTAGCAAACATATTTAGAAAAAAATGTTTCAGAAACAGTTAAGAAATAAAATTTTGTCTGCCGAGTAAATAAAGGGCTGTATATTGTAATAATTATTGGTCTAAAAATTGTTTCTGTTAAGTAATTATATGCAGGCATTAAATATAATAAAAATGATCAGTCCTTAAATTCGATTACTCTTATATTTCTTAAAATTATTTATTAATATACAAATAAAATAACTTTGAAGTCTTTATAAATTGCTGAAATTTAAATTAGCAAATTTATCGATTAAAGATATTATAAAATAATTATATTTTTTATTTTGATTTATTAAATATATTTTAAACTTAAATTTGTGATATTATTTTTAAAAATAATTACCATACTAAAAAAAATTTTTTTTTTTTGATTAATTAATTTTAAACATATCTAAATTATAAAAAATATATTTTACTCGTAGTTATTACAACTAAATAAATAATTTTCTTTAACAACAATTTAATTTACATTAGGGTTTATGAGCTGCAGCAAATCGCTCTGACACTTTATTCCAATTCACAATATTCCAAAAGCTTTTGACATACTCAGCCCGAACATTTCTGTATTGAATATAATATGCATGCTCCCATACATCGATTGGGAGTAAAGGAATTAATCCAGTCATTGCAAATAAAGAGTCCTGATCTTTTGCAACAGCTAATTGAAGACTTTTTGTAATTGGACTATATCCTAACCATGCCCAACCAGAACCTTGGACTGCCACAGCCATTTGCGACATAAGATCTTTCATTTTATCTAAAGAACCAAAGCTAGCATTTATAGCACATGATAATTCATTACTAGGTTCTCCGCCACAAGGAGACATAGATTCCCAATACATTGAATGATTTAAGTGACCTCCACCGTGAAATTTCAGAGCATTTCCCAGGTTTATGACCTCATTAATATCATTTTTTGAAACTGCATTTTTAACTTTTTCTTCTATGTCGTTTAAGGCATTTACATAAGCCGCGTGATGCTTCATATGATGAACTTCTAACATTTCACAACAAATAATTGGTTCTAATGCATTATATTCGTAGGGAAGTGTGGGTAAAGTATGCTTTTTTTGAATTCTGGAGAAATTTTTTCCTAGCCTAAAATAAAATAACTTATTATAATAGTTATAGTTTTATAGTCAAAAATATAAATATAAAAAATTTATACTCACGTTACTGCATATCCTATTTGTTTTCTTAAAGCAAACATTGTCAGCAGATTTTGGTGTACAGCTGATACCAGTAGCCAATAATCAATTTAAAAAATATTAACCTAAGTCTTAGTGAAAATAAACATTCATAAAGATAAAAAATAAAAATTTAGTACGTAAATTTCCCGCAAGGTAGAGAAAAATTTTAGATTAGTATTAGATATGCGTTCACTGTATTATTATTAACAAAATGGCTTCATAGTAGAAGTTTTTTTTTATCGGGTACCCCAGTGATTTTTATTATTATAATGGCTAGTTCGGTTATTTAAGAAATGGGGATTAGAAATTCAAAAATGAATGACATAATTCATCAGTCTTTTATAAAAGTCAATCGAAAAAATTTACGACTTGTACGAAATCAATCAGAAATTATCCATAACTTATTTCCTGTTCGTGTACTTGGCAAAATAAAGAAAGATGAGGTTGATTCAAAATTCGTTTACATTCCATTAAAATTAACCGAAGATTCCACGGAAAAGATTACCGAGATAACAAATAAAGTCCAGGTAGGATAATTTCATGATTGAGTTAAGAACTTTACTTTTAAAATCTATGGTTATGTTTTTCTTTTTTTCTTCAAATTTATTTTAAAAGTACAGCTTTGATTATCATTTTAACTTTTCTTTAAGTACAAACATTTTAAAAACTTTATATTTTTCACAAGGCAAATCGAATGATTTATATCAATTCATTTCATAAATATAATTTTAAACTCTAAATGACATTTGATTTAGTTACAATGATGACTTTTTGGATCAAAATGTTATTTTTAAATATTTTTGTGATTCTCTTTTACTTTTATTTATTCCAATTGAAAGTACTTCAAAAAATGACCTTTATCGAAAATTATTTTGTATTAATTACTGAAAAAAAAAAAATAATCTTTGAGTATCATTTTCACCACACATTAAATTACTTTCTATTTTTTACAATTGCATTGTCTTTTGATGAAATTTATGAAATAATAATAATAATACACTTTACTATTGATCTAATAATTTATTTTACAAAATTACTTATTATCAAGGTTTTATTTTAAAAACATATCAATTCATAAATTTTTTTAAATATAAAGTCTATTATTTAATTTAATTTATGACTTTGATATTATTCAATAATTTGAATACAAAGTTTTATTGTTTACCTTAAATTAGTAAAAAACAAAAAAAAAATTTGCCTGACTTGTGGATATTGTTTTTTTTGTTCAAATACCAGTTTTTTTTTTTCTTTTTGTTTTCCTCAGGATTTTCAAGTGCTGTAAATTACATATATATGTATAAGTATATGTAATTTATGTTTATATACATCTAATTATACACCTAAATCAAAAATTTTTTTTTGCGCTAGAATGTCAAGCTACCTTAAAAACCGGTTTCTAACCTGGTACGCGTAAATTTGCGTCATGAGTCTCTTTTTTTAAACGGTTTCGGAGAAATAGAAGGTCAAAAAAACACGGTCAAATGCTACATGAACCAACCAACTACTTGTTATTATAAATAGGAATATATCGAATCCGAATAATAAAATTTAATTTTTTGATAAAAAATTATTTATTATTTTGTAAAAAAAAAACCATTTTCTAATTTTGCATCATATGCATTTTTAAAGTAATTGGGCTTTTGTGGTGTACATTTTTGCAAAATTAACATTGAACACATATCTCTCTATATGGTGAATATTGATTTTCTGTTTTTAACTATTTGGTCAGTTACTTTATTTATTTATTAAAAAACCAGTTATTAATACATAATATTTTTTAAAAAATTAATGATGTATGTGTGAGCGTTTGTAAAAGTCAGGGTAGAATTTTTTATGTACTTTCATTTACAGATTTCAATAACATTTATTACCCATTTTAATTTTGATAATTTCTGGTTCACATGTGAATTCCTATTAAAAAAAAAATTCTCATTGAATGGAATACAAAATCCTTTTTTTTTTTTTTTTTTTTTTTTTATAATTTCAAAAGGTGTGCTATGTTAATATTACAACGAAAGTTTCTTTTGTTTACAAATAATATTAATTATTTTATTTAATATAAACATGGCGGATATGGAAATATAAATGTAAAAAAATTGTAAACGGATTTTCCTAAAAACAACAATTATGAATGAGGTGTGATAACCAGGTCACCGTCCGCGTGTGCAGAGAGAGAGAGAGAGAGAGAGATAGAGATAGATGGCGGACCGTCTCCCGGATACACAATTTCTGACGTCAGTCCTCCTTCATGTATACACTGTAAATTGAATGTTGTGTCAGTGTTTCGCGTGTATTTCTTGTTTAAACACAACTTGTTGCCCACATCGGATTCTTTTATTATTATTATTATTTTATTTTATTTTTTTATTTATTTTTTATTTACATACGAGAGTTTAAAAAATTTTTTTTTTTTTTTTTAAAAAAAATTAAAAATGCATATGGTCGAAAATATAATAGTTTGTTAATAATAATACTGGAATGAATGGATATGACAATTCATATGGTGAGTTATTGAATCAACCAACAACTGAAAAAGTAGCTTTTGTAAAACTTTGGAATTTAAATCCGGGTTCTCTTAATAATCTAACCAAACTCGAATCATTTTCAATTTTTATTTTTTTAATTTTTTTTTTACCCTAATCGTATTCTATATAAATGATTTTTTTTTAAAAAAAATATTTAGTTTGTTCCGGTTACACTTTTCAAAATTTTTTTTATTTTATACATCCTAGTTACTAAAAGAGAAAGTTTTTCTCTTGAATCCATAAAAAAAATGTTAATAATAATTTTTTTAATAATATTTTATTGACAATTTTCTGCTGTTTTAATAAAAAAAAAAAAAGTCTAGAAGCAGCAGAAATACTTGTAATATTTTTTTTTTTTTTTAAATCAGGCATTTTTTTAATTTTTTTATTGACAATTATAATCATTATTATCGATAAGGTGCACAAAAGTATGGAATCAATTAAAAATTTTAAAAAAATGTAAAACAAATTTTTTTTTTTTTTTAGAAAAAATAAAACGTTAATCAAACCGGATGTTGTTAAATTAATTATTAATAAAGTTATAAAAAATTTAATCAAATTATTTCTTCATATGTTTTCTTATTTATTATAATTAAAAAAAAATACATAATAATAAAACTTATTTCAAAAAAAAAAAATTTTTTCAAATGTCATAAATAATACATAAAAAAAAAAAAAAAATTTAATGAAACCAGAATGATCATCATCATCATCATCATCATCATCATCATCATCATCATTAGGCACGAGGTCATTATCAGATCCGCATGAAACTTAAAATATTTTAATGCCGGATTTACTTTTATTTTACTTTTCAACTCGCGAATATAACTTGATTTGAAAAAAAAAATTATTATTATTATTATTATTTTTTATTATTATTTAAATGAAACAAACAAAATTTTATATTTCGAAATATTTATTTTTTTTTTATAGTGATCAAGCTTAGATTTCAAGGTCGATTAATATTTAAACATATTTTTATTTGGAAATTTTTTTTTTTTTTTAACTTTTACGTAATTAAATTTAATTTTTATTATTT